TGAAGTTTTTACAGAACAATAACAACGTAATTAAATTTTTAACAGAGAATTTGTAGTTACATAAAAGTTTGAAACTAAATAAATGAAAAACCCGCTCGCCATCTCTACGCTTGCTTTTATAAACGACCATGCGCATGCGCACATGTGCATCGTCTTCCGCGTATCATTATTATGTGTAATGGTCTTTCACGTAGTACTAAATGTCCGTCTGTTTGTCATGAAACCATCTCCAGTACGTTGATCGTGAACTTGATTGGAGTAACGAGTCATATAGTCTTAAGGCTTAATAAAATCTATACATAACATCACGCCTTTTATCCCCGAAGAGCTACCCCTTCTACCTACCTACGCAGAGGTGTTTTTTTTTTAAGGGGGGAAAATCACCGAATGACTGCTCCCGCCTGGGTGAGGCGGGAGGGAGTGTCAGACTCTTACTGACTAAAAACCACCCCGTTCCTTCTTCTGCACGTCGAGTTGGAGCCCCGGTTACCCGTTAGGCTCTCCGCGACTACGCAGAGGTGTACATTATGCCACTGTAAGATGTTACACCCACTTTTCACTATTTATGTTATGAGTCCCATGTAATAGGGGGTGACCCTATTGCCATATACCGGGCACAATTCCAGACTCCGTGCTACTACTGAGAATTTATAAAAACCCAGTAATACTTTGCCCGACTTGGGAATCGAACCCGAGACCCCTTGAGACCCCTTGCGAACGAGGCAGTCTATACTTATAAATTATAATACATCCGTAGAGAGGTATAAACCTGTACATGAAATATTTTTCCAAAATAGCTATCAGGGGGTGATTAGTAATCGATACTAATGCCAAAAATGCAATCAGTAAAATTTTTGTCTGTCTGTCTGTCCGTCTGTATGTATATTCCTTATAAAAACAAAAACTACTCGACGGATTTTACGAAACTTGGTACAATTATTTTTCATACTCCTGGGGAAGTTATAGTATACTTTCCATCCGGCTACAATCAATAGAAGCAGAGCAGTGAAGCTGAACCAATTTTGATAAGCTTATCAGAAAAATGTTTTCATTAAATAAACTTTGATTTTGTAAAGATTTTATTTTATACCCAGGGCTTACCAATATGGCTGAATGCTGACATTCTCCCCGGACCAGTGGATGCTACCACGAAACCAGTGGATCCTGTGAAGTTTCTGAAGCTGGGTTCAAAGCATGCCTGTGCTGTTTTGTCGGTCGGATGGACTACCAACTACGGAGGAAACATCACCGAGGGAGAGTACACCAGCGAACAAATCGGTACCATGCTAAGGATGATCAACGAAAACCATATCAATCAAACTGTGACCTTTCCTGTAAGTACATAGTATTATCTATATTAATAATTTCGTCAAGGGGTACTGTAGACTCGATCGAAACATTATTCAGGTAAATAACAAAACATTAAAAAATATCGATTTCGAGTCGACAACATATATCTGCACAATTCGGATTACGGGTATTATTTCGTATTATTAATTCATTTTATTCACACTGATAGGTAAATCGCAGTCGCCATCTTGAGTAGACAATAAACGTTCCGTTTCATACTAGCTCTCAAATACGCCTCGCCAATCAACACGTTGTCGCGTCAAAAAAGTATAAATTAACAAGAACTAACAATAATTTCACGCGAACGAAGTCGCGGGTAACAGCTAGTGAATTATAATTCGTCTGTTTGTTAAGATCATAGTAGTAAGATAAAAATTCAATAGGAAATTAAGAAGATACGCCGTAATAGAAGACAGGCTTGTTTAAAATGTTCCATGAGAATAAAATCTACACAAGCGCCACCTAAACACACAAAATACTGATGTAAGTATTGTACTAATGGTGTATGAACATGCAATAGATTATGGTTAAATTAAATTCCGAAGTAATTGTATTTATACAAGATGTTGTTTTAAAGCCGCGTCATTTTCTAGGAGGTAACTCGGCTATCGATTCTGAGTCCAAATTAATAAAAAAATTGTAGGTAAATATTTGTATTTTTCTGTTAATTACGGAAATCCGTAAGTGCAAACTACATGCCGCCGTCTTGTACCTAGTTTTATAACGCGGCTTAACACACACAACTCAAACACGTAATTGATATTATTCCTAATTCCATAAAACTACAATAAGAAACATGGTTGTCGCTAATTCTGAAATACTGTCGAACTTAAACGATTTATTATAGCCGTATTTTTAACTACTGGCCCGAAACTTTCTCTTACATTGTACCTTCATGACTTCTGTGGCATGCCCCCGAGAAATGTCACGGTTTCAAAACTACACCTTGTATAAATAAATAGGATAATATGCATTCTTTGTATCACGATTAATATGACTATGACCAGTTCCACCCGAGTTCCAGTCAAGTCTTAGACGATTTTGTCATGTTTTACCATCATCAAGATTTTTTAATATTACTTATGTTTCAGGTTCGCGCTGGTCTAGCAGCCAATAGCCAACCGGTTCTCCTGGACCTTCTTCGAGAAACCTCCTCTCTCAACTCCACCATGACAGTCTGGTCTAGCGAAGGTGATCATGTGGAAGTAGACCGTCTCCGCGCCCTGATCCTCACCGTAGGCTTAGAGAGGACCTACCTGGATGTCCCTCAGGAGTTAGCTGGTAAACTCCATCTTCCTCCACCAGACGCGAAGGCCAAGAACTAAATGTAACACTGTAGATCTTTCTAGAAAATATAACTTGGTGTTTTAATAAATTCTAATTGGAGTTTGATTTTTCTATCGCGTTGTGAGGTTTTATTGGCATTCATATCGTGGAAGTTTTAAACCTGATGAGTATCAATATGTTTTTATCTAAGACTAGCTGGCCCGGCAAACTTCGTACCGCCTATAAATGTTTTTTCTCACCTTTTAAACCTTCCCTGGACTTCCACGATCATTTTAAGACCAAAATTAGCCAAATCGGTTCAGCTATTCTCGAGTTTTAGCGAGACTAACGAACAGCAATTCATTTTTATTTATATATAATATAATATAATAATATAATAATAAATTTTATTGAATCAATATAGATTAGTTGTAGTATAGTTTTTTTTAAACGTTGGCACATTAGGATTTTCTCATGTGTCGTGGGTGCGTTTACAAACATACAAGTTCACATAAACATGACACCCACACTTGGAACAACGATCTGTGAATCACACAAATAATTGTTTCGTGCGGGAATCGAACTCCCGACACGTTGCGCGGCAGTCAGTAGCCAATAGTCTTCAGCCAATGACAGGTTGTCTTGATATAATAACATTGGCAGAGAAATTTTTAACACCTGTCATCAAAGTATCCCTATTGACCGAAGAAAATGCATTCGTAATGTCAACCTTTAGGATAACCTCTGCTTTCCTGGAATAAGGTAGGTCGATAACGCATGCACGGCAGCCTCGCAGCCCCTTCTCGATCCATACCCGAGTTGAAGGGGCTGAAACTTTTCCGAAAGATGATTTCTATAAAATTTGCAACAAATCTTGGCTGTCGTTGGACGATAAGTTGTTCCCACGGCAACGGGACGATGTAAATAGTTATTGCTTCTCATCTTGTTAAAAGCTAAGCTTCCAAGGCGCCCTTTGTAACACTAAAATTAAATCAATATTAGTGTTACAAATTAAATCAATACATAACATAACATCACACCTTTTATACCCGAAGGGGTAGGAAGAGGTGCACTTTATGCCACTGTACAGTGTAACACCCACTTTTCACTATTTATGTTATGAGTCCCATGTAATAGGGGGTCAGCCTATTGCCATATACCGGGCGCAATTCCAGACTCCGTGCTACTATTGAGATTTTTTTTAAAACCCAATAATACTTTGCCCGACCCGGGAATCGAACCGAAACCCCTTGCCCGGCAGTTGCACTTGCGACCACTCTGCCAACGAGGCAGTAAATCAATATTCTCGTTACAAATTAGCCTTAATCTCTGTAGCTATAAGTTTTAGGTCAGAAATGCACGCCGCCCAGTAATTAAAATAAATTTTAAGCCATATTATTATAATTCTCATTGTTCTGACGCTGTCTTGTCTCCATCCTCCAAGCTCTAACCCAAAGCACTTAACACCAACAAATTGTAAACCTTATGCTTTATGCAATAAGAGCTTTTAAAACCGAAACATTAAATTAGTTTTCATTCCTGCATTCACAAAATCAATTGCAGTTCAATTAAGGAGATTTGAACCTTGTTTAGTACGTAACAAGAGTTGTTTGTATGCATAATATGGTGGTAGTGTAAAGGGTGTCGACCTCAACCATGTGTGAGCCACGTGGCTGTGTTGTACTGGGACTATTGTCATTCATGAGCTGTTGTTCGAACAGACATGAATCTATTTAGATTGGTACCTGCAAGATGTGAATGAGTGTATATTTTACAAATACAATTACAAAATGGTAATGTGTGAGCTCGTTCTTGGAACTTAGAAGACACCTATTTGCTGTTCTTGCTATTTAGGTGAGCGATTCTTAAGTCGGTTCGTTGTGTATAATTTAACGGTGTGATTCTGTCAGAGATGTGGTCTAAGAGTTCAATAGTATGCAAATGAAACTGCTGTTTCATTTTCATCTTTAATCTTATTTTTACGGATGTTTTGCCATACCATGATTGTTATATTGCTCAATTTAATAAAATCTTTATTTCGATTATAAAACTTCAGTACTCGTACATGATGATAATTCGGTTTTGCTAAAGTTAGTAGTGGAAAGTGCCCATTAGAAATAATTTTCTGTAAATAATATAATAAGTGCCTACGGGAAAGTGTATGGTGACGTCATAATATTTGTATGTCAAATAGCATACTTATTTCTTTAAAACGTAATATAAAATATGAAAGTAAAGTATAATTATCGTCAAATCAATGAGTAAATGTTTGAATTTTTGAATATTTTGTTCTATTGAAAAGTCGAATTATTTTATTTTGACTAAGGAAACTCGTTTGGCTCGGTGTCTAACATTTACCATAAAAAAATCAATACACAATTAAATGCAATACAAGCAGAAATTTATTTCCAAAAGATAAACTAAGCTGATGATGTGAATTTAAACAAGTTTGAACATAATTTGAAAAATAAAAGTAAAACATTTCACTGTACTCAGATTGTCGTTGAAGAATTAGTTCAGTCCGTGGTCTTTTGGTAACAGTTTAAGCAGTTGCTTCGGCGGTGGCGGCATCAGAACTGGCAGCATCGCTACTGGCAGCAGAAGCACTATCTTGCACAGCATCTATCAATGCGTTTAACTGCTCTTGTAATGAGTCCAATGCCGCATTAGCCTCCGTTAGTAAATTAACAAGTAGTTCCTTCTTAGCCGCTGCAATACCCGAAGCTATCTCATTGACTGCGTTTTGAGCTTCTTCAATTTGTTGCTTAAGTTCAGCAATCTTAGCTTTTAAGTCTTCCAAGCCTTGCTCGCTCAGTTCCTTTAGGGAGGTTCCTATTTCATTGACTAGTTCTGACACACCGTTGAAAATATTAGTCAGAGTCTCCTTCAGATCGACGTTAGTAATTTGTTCAACAAGGTTTAATGCGGCTGAAACAAAATAAAAATATATCATCAATGTGTGTTCATTCAATATTCAAACCTATATAAACTAGCTGTCAACTCAGTGTTGTAATAAACAGTGAATATACTTACAGTTCACAATTTCGTCGAGTGCAGCGCCGGTTGAGTTCAGTACTGCAATATAAATAATAATTTATTATTATAATTGTCATTCAAATTTACAATACTGGTATAGTAAATAAATTGGATTTATTTTGCTGACGTCACAGAGATATGTACATTTTCTCCCGTGTCGTAAGTGCACGCTAACAAATATACAATCTCACGTGCGCACATACACCCAGATCCAAAACAACAACTTGTGGCGCTCAGGCTCACAAACCCGGTTTCTCAGCCATCGCACCAACCGTGCAGTCATATACAGATGACTATATATGTATATGTATATGACTATTTGACATATACTATACACAGAAATATCAAGACCAAAATTTTGCACAGAAAATATGTGTGATAATATGCCTGCTACAGCTAGGCATATTTGATGGCTACGTGACAAGCTAAATCTTAGAACTAGCTGGTATCCTAGTAATAAACAGAGAATGCACTTACCGTTTGATACCAAGTCTTGTACTCCGTCCACTACTCCGTCTACGACTGCAATATAAATAATAATGTATTAATGTATTGTGACTCAAATCTCAAATCTATAATACTCGTGGCCAGAGGTATAGTGCCCGCTTCCTAATAGTACGGTGCGGGTTCTAAACCTGGCTAGTAGCAATGTGACTATTTAGACGCAACTAAAATAATGGTAAATATAGAACAACTTAAGAAAAAAGAAATAAAGGAAGAAGGAAATAATAATCATTATTACGGGATAGGTAATGTTACCCACGTGATCAAATACAAACGTGGTGATCAATGCTCATGCCTTCTCCGAGTGAGAAGGGGTAAAGGCAAAGGCCCAGTATTAGGTATCCGCCTATAGTAATATCCGGCTTTTTAAAAATAAACAGTGTATGTATTTCTTACCTTGGCCAACTCCTTCCAGTGCATCGCCAACGACTGCAATATAAATAATAATCCTGGTAAGATAGTAAGAAGTAAGGTCCCGCTTCCTAAGCGTTAGGATATGGACTCGAAACCAAACTGGTGAAAATAATCAGCACTGCCTATGGACTTAGACCCCCCCGCCCCCCAACACCAGAAGAGATATAATTTTGTTGCCCGTCTTTGCATGGGAAAGGGTAATTGGTCTGAAAATTACACTCATGTGATCACACGTGGTAAGCAATGCTCATGCCTTCTTCGAGCGAGAAGAGGCTTTTACCCAGGAGTGGGCTTACTGCCATGGGATGATATGATTTATACTATATACAGTGTACTTACGGTTACCAGTATTGTTGAGGAGTCCGCCAACCACTGCAATATAAATAATAATCTATTATTATAGTGCAATATAGTAAATAATAAACTTATAATTGTCATTTAAATTTACAATACAACAAGTAAGGTCCGGCTTCCTAAGCGTTAGGATACGGGCTTGAAACCAAACTAGTGAAACTAATCAGCACTGCCTATGGACTTGGACGCCCCAACACCAGAAAAGCTATAATTGTGTTGCCCGTCTTTGCAGGCGAAGGGGCGATTGGTCTGGAAATCTCATTCATGTGATTAAACGTATTAAGCAATGTTCATGCTTTCTTCGACCGAGAAGAGGCTTTTACCCAGCAGTGGACTTGCTGCCTTGGGATAATGTGATTTGTACAATATATAGTGTAAGTACTTACCGGTACCAGTATTGTCCAGGGCTCCGCCAACGACTGCAATATAAATAATAATGTATTGTCACTCAAATCTCAAATCTATAATACTCGTGGCCAGAGGTATAGTGCCCGCTTCCTCATAGTACGGTGCGGGTTCTAAACCTGGCTAGTAGCAATGTGAATATTTAGGACACAACATAATGGTACATATAGAACAACTTAAGAAAAAAAAGGAAGGAGGAAATAATAATCACCAATGCGCCTTTATTACGGGATAGGTAATCTGACCCACGTGATCAAATACAAACGTGGTGATCAATGCTCATGCCTTCTCCGAGTGAAAAGAGGTAAAGGCAAAGGCCCAGTATTATCCGCCTATAGTAATATCCGGTTTTTTTAATATAAACAGTGTATGTATTTCTTACCTTGGCCAACTCCTTCCAGTGCATCGCCAACGACTGCAATATAAATAATAATCTGTTAATATACTGCAATATAGTTAATAATAAACTTATTATCCCCCAACACCAGAAGAGATATAATTATGTTGCCCGTCTTTGCATGGGAAAGGAGGATTGGTCTGGAAATCTCACTCATGTGATCAAACGTAGTAAGCAATGCTCATGCCTTCTTCAAACGAGAAGAGGCTTTTACCCAGAAGTGGGCTTGCTGCCATGAGATGATATGATTTATACTATATACAGTGTACTTACGGTTACCAGTATTGTTCAGGGCTCCGCCAACGACTGCAATGTAAATAATAATCTATTATTTTTATTGTCATTTAAATCTATCTCTACAATAGAGGTTTGAACCCCAGCTAGTAAGTAGCAATTTGATTTATCCCAAGTGATAATGTAATTCAAATTATATTTAGACAACACTAACACACGATGAGAGAAACAATAATTATTTTATAAACCACGTTAAAAACCGACTTCAACCCCCTCTTGTTACCGTCTCCTACGTGTGATAATTGCTGGGCTCGCTGCCATTGCTCTCTTTGAGGAGTGGCTTGAGAGACGCTACGGCGTCTTTATCTACTGCCTGAAGCTGGTCCTCACCGGACATAGAAGTTTCAGTTACAGGCAAAAACGTGTCATCACTGCGAGGACTGCCCTGAGGACACGGTGGAACGACAGTAGCGGAATGCCCTGCGTGGGCTGAGCACCGCCGTGCTGGCGATGGCGACCTCTCGCGTCCGGCCCTTGTGCGGGTTTTGATGCGGAGCGGAGTGCGGAGATGCGGAGACTAGGATGTCGTCTCCTCCTTTTGCGAAGCAGTCATGCTAGTTAAGGAGGAGGCGGGACGCGTGAGGCAGCGAAGCGCTGCCTCATCGCAACCCAGCCATCACGGGCGTCGGGGATCGCGGGATGATCTCCGGCCACCGTAAGCGCGGGCATGCGGACGGCGAGCATGGGTGGCTTGTCGACCGACCAAAACCAGACTCGACAGTACGGCGCGTTGCGTTCCGCGCGCGCCTCAAATAACCATCACAGATGGGGCCCAATAGAGCTGATGCCGATTCGGCGCCGCGGAGAACCCAACGGATTACCGGGGTGCCGGCTCGAAGTGCAGGGGTAGGAACGGGGTGGTTTTTAGTCAGTAAGAGTCTGAGCTATTGTCCAGCAGTGGGCTTGCTGCTTTGGGATGATGTGATTTGTTATTTTTTATTTTATTTAGGAAAATTCCCGACCGACAAACCGATTTATACAAAATATAGTGTGCTTACGGTTATTAGTTCCGTCTAGGACTCCGCCTACGACGGCAATATTAATAATAATAATCTATTATTTTAATTGACATTCGAACATGGTGGCCAAGGTGTCATAAAGTGCCCGCTTCCCAAGTATTACGGTGCGGGTTCGAAACCTGGCAAGTAGCAATATGACTTTTACAAGCGTTTATTTAACTTGCAATGAATGTAAGTGTGTGAAGTGGAATCTTAGGGCGGCCGTACACGGACTGCTCGAGCAGTTAGCGGCTGAGCGAAATACACGGACTGCTCGAGCGGTCGCGACGACTGCTTGAGCTGTCGGTTGTTGACTGCTCGAGCTACGCTACCCAACTTACGGCCGCAAAGGGCGGGGGGAGGGAAATCGGAGAGCTGTCGACTGCTCTAGCGCAGTCAACGGCTCGGGCAGTCGGTGTATGCCTCACAAGCACAACCGCTCGCGAGCGGTCGACGGCACGATGGAATTTCATCATGCAGTTGACGGCTTGAAGCGGTCGCGACTGCTCGAGCAGTCGTCGTACGGCAGCGAATGAATGACTATAGTTCACCGCGCGGTCGCGGCTTTAAGCAGTCGGTCTCAACTGCTTAAAGCAGTCCGTGTACTACTACTGGCCTTACACCAAATACCTAAAATAAAGATAAATCTGCACTGGATGTATCCCAGTGTTGGTAAAAGAGAAACAGTGAATGTAATTCTTACCTTGGCCAACTCCACCTACCACTCCGCCAACCACTGCAATATAAATAATAATCTATTATTATAAATGTCATTCCAATCTACAATAGTGGTTTGAACCCCAGCTAGTAAGTAGTAATTTGATTTATTCGACACACGGTGATTTAGACACCACTAACATACGATGAAAGAATCAATAATTATTTTATAAATCACGTTAAAAACCGACTTCAACTCGCTCTTTTTTTAAGTCGGTTATTGAATATACTAAGACCTTCTCCTAAGTGTGATAATGGCGCACATACATACATACATACATACATACATACATACATACATACATAAAGGTCAAACTGAGATACTGTTTGTATCTTCAAGTCAGGTAAAAACTCACACATAGTGTTATTTAATTATCACCAACACGCTTTTTGTAAATGGATTATAAGGGCAATCAGCGTGGCTAATGGACGCCCGTAACACGATAAGGGTTACAATTGCGTTGCCAGTCTTTGCATGGGAGAGAGGGATTGGTCTGGAAATCTCACTCATGTGATCAATGCTCATGTCTTCTTCAAGCGAGAAGAGGCTTTTACCCAGCACTGGGCTTGCTGAATTGGGATGATGTGATTTATACTATATATAGTGTACTTACCTTTACCAGTTCCGTCTACTACTCCGCCAACCACTGCAATATAAATAATAATCTATTATTATAATTGTCATTCAAATCTACCTCTACAATAGAGGTTTGAACATCAGCTAGTAAGTACCAATTTTACTTATTCCAACTGATAATGTAACTTTAATTATATTTAGACACCACTAACATACCAGGGTAGAGTGGAAAGTTTCCGGCCTAACCTAGAAATAGCGCTAGCAGGCCAAATTTTCGGCTTGTATTCCTTAGTCCCGTTTGTCACTAGCTTATGTATAAATTTTCAGGTCAATTATTCTGTTAGTATAAGTTTGATAGCCAATTGAACAAGACACCTCAATTGCTTAGATAAAAATGGAAAAAGTCATCAAATATTTCTATTAAAAAGGTTTAACACGAATCCAATATAAAGAAGAGCTAGATTCTACACCGAGAGACTCTTCACCATTCAACTGTTATTCAACTGTTAAACAGTCAGTTTTTTAACTTAAGAAAGGTCGAACAACCACTTTAATGAACCACGTTCAGGACCCTCGTTGAGGTATATCAAATACATAAAATTAAGGCAAATCTACACTGGATGTATCCCAGCGTTGGAATAAAAGAAACAATGAATGTAAGTCTTACCTTGGCCAACTCCGCCTACTACTCCGCCAACCACTGCAATATAAATAATAATCTATTATTATAAATGTCATTCCAATCTACAATAGCGGTTTGAACCGCTAGCTAGTAAGCAGCAATTTCATTTATTCGACACACGATGATTTAGACACCACTTACATACGATGGAAGAAACAATAATTATTTTATGAACCACGTAAAGAACCGACTTCAACCCCCTCTTTTTTAAGTCGGTTATTGAATATACTAAGACCTTCTCCTAAGTGTGATAATCGTGCATATACATACAAACAGGTCAAACTGAGATACTGTTTCTATCTTCAAGTCAGGTAAAAACTCACACATAGTGTTATTTTATTATCACCAACACGCTTTTTGTAACCGTATATGCGGACAAACGAGCGATCGAATCACCGGACTATAAGGGCAATCAGCGCGGCCAATGGACACCCGCAACACGACAAGTGTTATAATTGTGTGGCCAGTGTTTGCATGGGAGAGGTGGATTGGTTCGGCAGTCTCACTCATGTGAATAAATACAAACGTGATTATCAATGCTCATGCCGTCTCCGAGTGAGAAGAGGCTTTTGCCCAGCAGTGGGCAAAGTATGAGCGTGAAGTGGAGTCTTACACCAAATACATAAAATGAAAGTAAATCGACACTGGATGTACCCCAGTGTTGGAATAAAAGAAACAGTGAATGTAAGTCTTACCTTGGCCAACTCCGCCTACTACTCCGCCAACCACTGCAATATAAATAATAATCTATTATTATAATTGTCATTCAAATAATTGTGTTGCCAGTCTTCGCATGGGAGAAGTGGATTGGTCCGGCAATCTCACTCATGTGATCAAATATAAACGTGGTGATCAATGCCCATGCCTTCTCCGAGTGAGAAGAGGTCATATCTTATACTAGCTGGTGACCCAGTGTTGTAATAAAGAGTAAATGTACTTACATTTGCCGAGTCCGAAGATAGCCTAGGGGGACAGAAATAATAACACCGTATTACATTATGTACAGCATAAGAAAATTATTGCTCTTTATCAGTCATTCTTATGACCAGTAGGGATATTAAGTATAAGTATCACAATGATACAACAATTTGAGAAGTATACAAAGATGGAATTCTTAATGACATAGGTCGTTACAGGCTGACTAATAGGGCAGAAAGATAGCTTGTGAATGTGAATATACGAGGGGCTGTATCGAAAGTGTATGTGGCTAGAACACATAGGCCTACTAAAGAGCGACCACGTAGAAGTCGTCACTCTCAGTACTCCATGGCGTTACTCCTAAATTCAAATATTCTTAGGGAAATACTTACACGCTTATTCCTTCCAGCTACTTTGCTCTCGATAGCCTTTCCGGATGCTTCATGGACTGAAGCTAGAGCCGCCTGTAACGTACAAATTACTGTCAATGAAGGTGTTCTAAATAAACAAGTACTATTGTATAAAAAACATTTTTTGTGTTAAACGGTTTTTTTGAACTCTCCACCACCAATCACCCCTTCGTTTGACAACCATAATGGAGGGAGGAAGTTATGAAAATTTTTTGATAGTGGTCCATGACCATCAATCTGTAGCCAGGAAGGGGTAAAATTCCAAGTAGCAATGAACTTAATAAACAAACGGGACCGTCTGTGCGTCTTCCCTAGCCTAGAGCTGGTGTCAAGTCAGACTCCGCATACAAGCGACAATGTCCAAACAACAGAAAAAGTTCTATTACAGCTTTATTTATCAAATAGTAACATGACATTAATAGGTGAGTACACGTAGCTGGAATATGGAGTAACACACGTTACACCACCCAAAACAGAAATGTTCAAATTTGATGAAAGTCGATGTGGAGAAGAAAAGTGATACTGGAGGTACTTACGAAAGCGACGACCAATAATAACACGGCGGTTTTCATGTTGGAGAGTTTGGAGACTGATGATCAAGTAATCTTAGTCGGAACAAGATGCTTGTAACTCGTACCTCTGCTCTCATGGCACAGCCTTTTATATGGACCATCTCGTCGTTTGCATTACGAGTTGCAACTGTGCAAATACAATAAATTACTGAAAAAATAATTACAATAATTGCATGTTTACATTTTCTTACGTTTATTGATTTAAGAGGTAGGTGTCTGATATCGGACGAATTTCCGTGTGTTACTTTCGAGGTGATCAGTTGTACTTTAGTCGATCATCTTCTAATTTTAAAAGATATTCTTTGATGTTCTTCACGAACGGTAGTGTTATCACAGCGTCACAGAATATCAGCGTGTAACAACGGTGTGTTGTGTATGTATTCACCGAGATTGTAGTGAGTGAGATTACTAAAGTCCCATTTCTTCCCCTTATCCTTGGGGAGTGGGGACAAATTCCTAAAGGGCCAGCAACGCATTTCTTACTCCTCTGGCGTTGCAAGCGGCGCCATTTGCTTATAAGGTATTTCTTTTACTTGCTTGCACTACTATGCCGTACATAAGACATTGTGCCGGCTATCGAAAATGTGAGTAGTAGTGAGTAAGTTCGAGTTATATGGAGAAAATGGAGATACAGGTTGTCTGTTGATACTTGCGACGCCTTGAATCTGCCTTATATGAGAATGGCAAGATGGACAGCATATGGGCCCTAGCGGCATATTCATGAATTTTTACCTATGTACCTATCACATTTGGCAAAGATGTTTATATTTTGCATTCGGTTTTGCTGCTTCGGTCCCAAATTTATGTATTTTTTGCGTTCGACCCACCTCTGGTCTGCACCCCTTCTTTTAGAAAAAATTGACCATATCATTAGGCGAACCCTGTCCTTAATTTTGAATGTGGCTCTTGATGACCGAGCTTGGACTCAAGCCACTCTGCC